GTTTAATAAAAGTATGATAGAAGTTTAATAAATATTTCATATACAGTAAACCCTACATAGCAAAAACCTTTAAATGGTTTTAGGCTTACACATATTTAGCTGTTATCTGATTATATTGTAATTATATTGAATTATAATATATACATAATATGTATATTTAAATGGTATTTAATTATAAAAATAGGAATAAATTCTTGTCGTTATTGTCAAACTCAATATTTTATTAAATATTTTTGTCTTTATTATTAATATGAATCAATAAATTGATGTTAAACTCGATGTTTAAAGACTCATTCATTTTAATTGATTTAATTTAATTTAGATATACTGTATATGCAATAGTGGTTGTTGTCATTAAATTACTTTTCCAAACTAATAGTGATTTGTTTTGGTATGTTATAGAATGATAATATCATACTAATATATTATACTATATATTAGTAAATTAGTTACTAGTACCGTATACTCAAACTAATCATAATTTTTTTAATACTTATCAACCGAATGCGATAGTATTAACTAAGTACTAAATTTAACTAATTATGCACTAATTATAACCTAATTGTCCACAATTCATTGACCCTAAATATTTATTATATTATATAATAATTACAAGATTTTATTAATGGTGAACGTGGCAAATAAATAACATTTGAAATAAAATATCTAACACCTTGGATATAAATAATAGATAATAAGTTATTAATTAATTGAATTATTTTTATACAGTATTATTAAAAAACAAATATTAATTTGAACCAAAACTTCAAAGACAAGCCTAATCTGCGTCAATACAAACAGTAATCTGTGATTAAAATTATTATAACTAACGCTAACAATAATTAATATTCTGTGTATTCATAGACTGTATCCAAAAAGTGTATTATATTCTTGCTTTCATTTCAAATAAATCCCAGAATTTACTGTTATTTTTTGTCTAAAGTTGTTAATTAGAAAAAATAGTTAAACATATCGTGTGATCAAAATGAAAAGTTTCTTAAATTTAATTATAAGTTTCGTATTGTATTATACATTGAGATTCAATGGACGAGTGAATGGTTTTAACAGTGATTTCGCAAAACTAGAGAATCTCTTAACGAAAGAGAAGGCAATGATTGAGTCGTTGAGTGAATATTTGATGTCCGAAGAGGTCCTCAATTCTCGCTTAAGACGACTGACAGACAACTCGTTGAGTATGAACTCAATTACACTGAAAGGCGACACCGAGGGCTCACTTTTAGGACATCCACTCGACGTATATCTCCTCATCAGACGAATGGCTATCGATTGGAAAGAAGTGAAGGATTTGTTGCGAACCAAAGACCAGTGCTTAAGTGATGTCCAAATGAGACAAATCGGTGGTCACTCTAACCATACAAATGCATTGAATGTCACGTTTGACTCGCAGTTTGTGTCGAGTAGTCAAGAGATTATCACTAATAAGGAGCTAAAAGGTATTCAAATGAAGTTTTAGTTCATAATAGAGATGTTAATGAAAATGATTGATAACTTGTGGACAGACACAGCGTTTGGAGTGATAAGTCTCGTCAATACTTATGACTTGGATATCAAGTCATTAGCGAATGGATTCATTAGATCTAAGACCACTTCCGGTGCTGAAGTGACTTCATATGAAAATCAATCCAAATATGCTTTAAATGCTTTCGACTGCTATTTGATTGGAAAACAAACGATTGATAACAAGGAGTACTTGAATGCAAAGCAATGGTTGACAGAAGCGGTCGAAAGATTGGATGAGATGACCAGCGATGAGATAATTGCAGACATTTTTAATTACCTGTCGTTTTGTGAACTGAAAATTGGAAAACCAAATGAAGCCCACAAATATAGGAGACTGTCGGCCGCTATAAAGCCAGACATCGAGACAAATGAATTGATATCAGAGATCAAAGTGTTTAACGACACGAATACCACTTCTTCTGGTCTCAAAGAGAAACCGATTTATTTATCATTCCTTTGCAAATGAATACCAATTATGTCGCGGAGAGACTTCTGAATGACTCGGTTGTCTCGAAACTCAAGTGTTTTCACTTAAACACAACGAAAACACCGTTTTTACGGTTGACTCGCATTAAAGTGGAAGAGATGTACAAAAGTCCGCAAATCGTTGTAATCCATGACTTCCTGTCGGAATACGAGACACAAACCATCATCTCTTTGGCTGAGCCATCACTAGCCAAGGAATACGTGAATGGAGTCGACGGTACAGTTGAGGTCAACATAGATAATATCCAACTCGCGAAGGGTAGTTGGCTTTCGGACGGACCACACAAATTCCCGCACACAATCAGCCGACGTATCGGTGCCATCACTGGCCTTAACATGCATTTCGAGAATCCATATAAACCTACGAAGTATAGAGTCGGCGGCTATTTTGACGCCCACCACGACGGGTGGTTCCTTAAACATAACGCATCAATCACTGTGTGGGGACATATGGCCACGTGGATCAACTACCTGAGCGATGTGGGTGCCGGTGGGGCCACAGTATTCCCACTCAATGTGACCGTTTGGCCCATAAAATACTCGGCAGTCTTTTGGCACAATTCATACAAATCAGGTCAACCCGATAGACAGACAGCTCACAGCGGGTGTCCTGTACTCGTGGGACACAAATGGATTGCCATTAAATGGATCGAATCGATGGGACAGGAGTTTGGCAAACCATGCCATCCATACGATCGACAATCACGTCATTACATTCAATGAGACAAACATAATATGTTAATAAACCAACTTTTTATGTAATCATAATACAGTAATTCTATATATTTGTATCTAGACACTTCATTACTTTTATGTAAATCAATGGTTGTTTTAAATGATTTAAATTATTTGACATTATATTTTATTCGATATATTAAATACATTAATGTTAGTAAATATCATAAATATACACTATATTTATTTTATTTATTTACTTTTCAGGTTAACTGTTGATTTTATAATTACAATATTTTTATTAAAATTTATTTCAATTAAATTTTGAATGGATTCACATCACAAACATTGCTGTCGACCACGAGTTGGTTGAGTTGATCCCACTTTTCACACGACAACACGCCATCCCTCACTTCAAACTTCAGTATCTCCTGAAACACACAATACATGCCATAAGAGGTCTGTATTATAACATCCATATAGGGGTCCAGGGGTTCGGCACTGAGTGTGGGGTTCGCCATAATAGTGGTCCGCAATGACTGACACTCTCTCTCCAAATGCTTGACATTCATGTACTGGAAGTCGAGCGCCGACTGAACACTACATCCCTGGCTGTGGGCGTACGACAGGACACCACTTGTGATGTCATTTGTGGCCAGTTTTGCCTTAAGAAGCATATAGTCGTCGACAGCGAGAGACAGTTTAGCCGCGGATGACATGAATTCATACATAAGCGGGTGGTTACGGACTGCCTCTGGAAGGGTATAATCCATCAAATACTCCACAAGTGTTAGCATCAAAGGCCACCCTTTCATGGATTCAGAAGTTAGGAAAATAAACATTAAATAACATGATTGTAGTGTTCATACAAATTATATATTCATTTGTGTTGACCATAACTAATACATAACTAATACCTGATTCTTGTAGACGAATGTCATTGTATTCATCGTATGGTATAAAACGGTCTTTAAGCCAATAATCGCAGTGAACGCGGGTTTGGGTGACAAACATATTCCGCAAGTGTTGTCTCATATTAGACTTCCAACACTCGTTCATCTGTGCGTCCAGAATGGACATCACATCCAACAGCCGGCGCCCTATTATGTCATAAATGTATTACTCATTTATACAACTAATCATTTAAATCACAAAATCTTATTCATTTCCAAATCCAATACCGGAATCAAAGCCCTGATCGCATCGTCCGCTTTCCATTGCATTCAACAGCTTATCCATCAATTCTCGCAGTAATTCTGGTGACCGTTCCCTTCGAGCCCTTTCCATATCATTGTCCATATAAACAAAAAATTCCATTAATTTGTTGGCATTCAGTAGCCTTTCCCTGGATTTATAGCCATTGAACAGATATTCAGTGAAGAGAAGTGCAGCGTATGTTGTCTTTTGATTGTAGTGGGAGAACCCTTTGGACCACTTTGTGATCTCCTGTAACACCCATTCCCGGTGTGGACAGGGATTCATTGGTTTGTTAAACAACGGCCGAACCCTTAAACTCCCGAACTCTTCGCGACTTTTCAATAGAGAAAGTGTTGTCATGTTTTTGATACCAATACTGTATACCTGTTTGAATTAATTCACATCAATATTTAGTAATCTATAAAAACAGTGCATTAAATTGAAGTATTATTATATTCAGGCAAAAATGAAAAAAATGATATTAAAACAAGTAATTCATTCATTAGCATACGTTAGCTTTAATCTGATTTTGCTATCATATTAATGCAAACGTATTCATAATGCCAATCATTTCATTATTTTCAAATTATTTTTAGTTAATGTAGATTAGAAATAAACAATTTTGCATATCATTATAATATATTTTTAATATTCTAAAATACTGAATTAATTAATAGATAACTTTTTTGATACAAATCTAATTTATTAAATAGTTAATTATTAGCACATTGCGATCGTACTGTGATTGTAATATAAACTACTTTTTATACATGTATTAGATCATTTTAATTCAAACTTAATACTGAT